TACACCTAATAGTACCAATGATTCTAAGAAAGTCCCTTATACACCTAGTAGTACCAATGATACTAAGAAAGTACCTTATACACCTAGTAGTACCAATGATACTAAGAAAGTACCATACACCTAGTAGTACCAATGATACTAAGAAAGTACCATACACCTAGTAGTACCAATGATACTAAGAAAGTACCATACACCTAGTAGTACCAATGATACTAATAAAGTACCATACACCTAGTAGTACCAATGATACTAATAAAGTACCATACACCTAGTAGTACCAATGATACTAAGAAAGTACCATACATCTAGTAGTACCAATGATACTAAGAAAGTACCATACACCTAGTAGTACCAATGATGATTAATGACTTCCAGTCTTACATTCGTTTTATTAGAATCTGTGAATTAAACAAGAACGTGGTAACGGCAAAATGGAGTACTGGTTGCCATGGCAACGAGTACAGGACGAGCACTGTTACTAAATGTTTTAATGATGGTTGGCTTTCATTAAGTTTATTTTGATGTCGACAGAGTATGAGTACAAAAAATATGAATATGTCTTCTTTGTATCATCAAAAGTTTCGACAATCTATACATCTGAATTTCTTTCTTTTTTTCGCTTGTTATCCAAAAACGTTAAATGTAATTGTTCATTAACATGTATCCATTATAAAGTAAGATTGAGCAATTTGTAGTGTAATCTTCTCTTTCTTTGAGTTTAAGTTTCAAATATCCAGTTTTGCTCATGTACTTCCCAGTACTATTTCATCAAACTAAAACTCCAGGTAATCACGCTGCACTCTTGAACCCAGAGACTACAACATAACACAACATACTCGTAATATAGCATTACATATTCACATTATAATCTCGTATATATTACGTATTCATAAGATAATCTCGTACCCAGAGATTCCGTGAATATATTACATTTCAACAATATAATCTCGTACTAGAGTTGCCGTTAATATTTAATTTGATAATTAACTGCCCTAAAATTGCATTTTCTTTGTTCATTGGTAGCTAAAGATCACCAGTGTTATGGCAGGTCACCACAACCAGCCTGGAAGTATATATATTTACATCGTTCTTGTGACACTATTCTTCCTGCAGCTGTTAGGTAAGAAACAATTTCCTACTTGTAACAGTTAACTTTCATGAATAATTACATTGTTTTAGTCAGTATTATTTAAGCTTGTTGTAAAGAGTTTACTATAGGCTTAGTTCTTGTAAAGACAAACTCTACAGTTAAAAACTGAAACTACACGGGTTTAGGTCACGTAAATACTGAAACTATACACGTTTAGTTCACGTAAATAATGTAGTGTTACACTACAGGTTTTGAACACACCGAGAATATTCACCCAAGTATTACACTCTAAGCTTCTGTATTTTATGTGTCACTCTAGCTGTTCACCCAAGTATCACGCTCTATGCTTCTGTATTTTATGTGTCACTCTAGCTGTTCACTACAAGTATCACACTCTATGTCTTCTGTTAGTTTGTGTCACTCTAGCTGCCCACCCAAGTATCACACTGTATGCTTCTGTATTTTATGTGTCACTCTAGCTGCTCTATGCTTCTGTATTTTATGTGTTACTCTAGCTGTTCACCCAAGTATCACACTCTATGCTTCTGTATTTTATGTGTCACTCTAGCTGTTCACTCAAGTATCACACTCTATGCTTCTGTATTTAGTGTCACTCTAGCTGTTCACTCAAGTATCACACTCTATGCTTCTGTAGTTTGTGTCACTCTAGCTGCCCACC